CTTGATGAGGTTCACGTCGAACTTGCCCTTCTCGGGGAGCGGAGGGAGGAGATCAACGAGGTTGACGAACTTGCCCCCGAGACGCTTCTCGACTTCGGCGGCCTTCAGGGTGACCTTCTTGGACTTGCGCTTCTTCGGCTTCTCGCCCTCCTCAGCATCAACCTCCGCGTCCTCGTCCTCGTCCATCGCAGCATCCGCCTCTTCCTCCCCCTCTTCTCCGGCATCCTCAGCGGACTCCGTGAGCAGCTTGGCGTCCTGCGAAGAGACACCGAGCTCCTCGAGCGAGAGACCCAGGCTCTTGACCAGCTGTCCCCGGATGGCGACGAGGGGCACCTTGTAGTCCGCGTAGCGCTCCTTGAACTCGTCGTACAGAGACTTGAGGACATCGGACGAGTGGAGCGCAATGAACGTATCACGGATGATCGCGGACATCTGGTCGATGTCGCTCGGGTGCGTCCAGTACGAGTCGTGCACAGACGCGAACGTCAGGCCCTGTGCGCGGCACTCGAGCGCGGTGAGCATCATGTGCGTCGCGTCGAGGCTGTGGATGAAGTTCGGCGGGAACGCGGACGCCTGCTTCGCCGAGTTGACCGTCGACGGCACGTTCGGGTCCGAGATGAACACCGTCTGGATCGCCGTCATGACCTGCTTCCGCTTGATAGCGCGGTACGGCTGCACGATCGGCAACCCGAGCGGCGTGGTCCACACGACGGACGTCATCTGTTCCTTCTTCCAGTGGGGCGCCTTGCTTCTGATTCGCTTGCTCGACGGCGTCTCGGTGTACGACTGCACGAGACGGTCCTCCGGGATCGCCTTCGCGATGAGCCGCGCGCACATGTTGAGCCAGTTCTGAATGTCCTTCGCGCCCTGGAATAGATCTCCAATGGACGCCAGCACCTTCTTCGCCAGGTACGACGCGCCGAGCCAGCACATCTCCGGAGGGATGTCGCCGCGCTCCTTGAGCTGACGCTCGATCTGCTCCCGGGCACCGATGAAAGTGACACCGTAAACCGTAGTCATGACCTGAAAGAAGTACTATGATGAACATCCCAAATATGTCGATGTGAAGCAGACGATAACTAACCGTTTGTTTGACGACCTTGCGGGAGATCTTGCCAGCGAGCACCTGCGCGTACTTGTTGCCCTTCTCCAGGTCCTGTTCAATGCTCTTCTCCACCATGTTCGCGACGTACGTGTACACGTCCGAGGGGCGGTCAGCGGCAGCGAGGTTCACCTGTGCGGCACCGACGGCATCGCCACCAAGGGCGGCGTAGTGCTGAAGACCGTTACACGTACCATCCTGGTGGACGGGCAGTGAGCACTCATAGGACTCCGGATCAGCCAGGTCGAGCGCAGCCTTGAGCTCCATGCACGTCGCCAGACATTGCCATGGGTCGTCGGCCTTCGTCCACCACCGCTTCCCGTCGAGCGGGTGCTCGGCGCTGTCAACGATGTCCTCCAGGTGGTCGTGGACGAACTGCACACGCTCGTCAAAGCTCGCCTTGTCGTAACCGTACAAGTTGGCAAGGTGGATCTTCAGCCACCGGAGACCACGAGCGCCAAGGGGCTTCGCCTCGTCAAAGAGCAACAAGCCGCGACTAAGATCGTCACCGATGTGGCTCAAGTGAGGAGGGATGGGGTATGCGCGGCCACGGAAGTCGACGTTGTGAGGGAAGTAGATGGTGTCACCGAGGAACTGTACAAGACGGTGAGTCGTACGCGACAAGAATCATAAGCAGCAATACTCACAGCACGAGCGATCTCGACTTTGTAGTTGACACTGCAACGATCCGAGTGGTTGGCGGCCCTCGCCTGCTGCCAGGCCTTCTGACGATCAATGTAGACGCTCTTAGCCTTGTTGTCGAACTCCATGTTCTCCGGCCTTTCCGGCTCTGGCTCGTCGGGAATCGCAGGCGGGATCTTGCAAAACCGCTCACCCGAGTTCCAAACTTGCAGCACCACGTCGAAGACGCGGCGGTTGATACGCCAGGGAGTGCTTCCGAGAACGTCGAGGCCGGCGAAGACAAGCTCGAGGCGACCTGCATCTGACGCGTGACGAAGATAGACCTCCTGTTCACGCGAGTCCTTGAAGCGCATCGCCCACGAGCGGTTGTAGAGGTACCCGCCTTGGTTGTAGCTCAGCCAGGGCTTGGGCTTAACAAGCATAGGCAAGTGGCGGGGATGGAGGGTCTCCGCAACGGAATCCTTGGACATGCGTTCGGCAACAGCAGGGTTGAACTTGACAACGCCCAGCTTGTGACCACGGAGATACTCGTACTGGTGGAAGAATGCAGGCTGCTCCTCCATTCTAGCGGACTATTAGCACCTGAAGACAACACAGACCGGCAATGTAACTCACATCTTCTCGCCTGTCCGAGGATCCGTCATCGTGCGTTGAACAGTGGCGACATCCATGAGGCAGTCGACCAAGAAGCTGCCGACCTTGACACGGATCACCTGCGACCATTCCGACGTCCAATCCTCCGAGTCTTCCATATACTTCCTCGCAGCAACACGGCGCGCGTAAAGGTCTCGATAGCCTGCGCTGGTGAAGATGCTCTTGTCGCCAGCGCGGGCGGGGACAGTGGTGGGTACGGGCATCGAGATTTTGTTCTTCTTGCACATCTCCGCCTTATACTCCGCCTCGACGGCACGGCCAACCGAGAGGAGCGCACGCGCGGTCTTCATGCCGTCGTTCACGCCGCCAGCCCCGTGCAGATGCATGACCTCCATTATGGTGATCAGAGACAGCTTCTCCGGGGAGAGGAGTCTCAGGAAAGGACTAAGCGTGACGTCTTCCGGCTTCGAACGTTTGTTGGCCCTCTGCTTCATTTTCGCTACGACACGCGTGAGCTCGATGCGAGTGCGAGATGATGATTTCCAACGTACCCATGACCCGTTCCTCCACGACGAGGTTGTCCAACTCCGCCTGTATACGGGCGTGCAGCTTCTGGTGCCACTCCCACATCCACACCTTGAGGTTATTCGACTGCAGCCCCTTGCTCGGCACTCCGACCTTGTCGAGCATCTCGGCTTGGTGCTTCATCCGCTCGACTGCGACGTTGTATACAGACTGCTCGAGGAGCTTCTGACGCAGCGCAACATCCTCCGACAGCACTCTCCGCGCGAGAATCACCTGCGACAAGTGCCGCCGGAGCGTCTCCAGGTTGAACGGCACTTCGCCCTCGGGAAGCGGTCCTTGCGACTTCAGCTCGGAGACCGTACCGTCCTCTAGATGCTTGACCTCCACGTCTGGGGTCTACAACGGCAAGGTGTCAATACAGACCGGCACAGGTGTCACCTACAAAACTCACCTTCCCCTTCATGACGGGAACGACCTCGGGAACGTTCTCCAGCGGATCCGCAGCCTGCCTCCCCAGCGACTCCGCCATACCGAGCTCAGAAACCACACTCGACAGACCCATCTGCACAGCAGCCTTCGACAGTGCCCGGATAGCTTCGTTCGCCTCCTCGTCGGTGGTGAAGGCACGATCAGCAACGACGAGCGACGGCGCGATCTGCCTGCCAATGATGTTCCGTAGCAGCGAAACGGGGTCGTGCACCTCTGCACCGCCGATGATGACCGGGTTCTTCGAGTCGGGGTTGAAGCGCAGCCACGCCTGGAGCATGATCGCGTACGTGTTCGCCGTAGGGTGTGCGCTGTCCCTCCCGTGCTCCATGTCGTTGTACAGCTGCCACGCGTCCTCGAGCCAGTTCGCACGGTTGATCTCCTCGCGGTTCGTCGCCATCTCCAGGTACGCTTCCAACATCAGGTTATACAAACGAGACTCCAGGATGGGATCGCCCTGTCTCGTGTCGCGGAGCCGCTCGAACATCTCCTTCGCACGGGGGACGTCTTGCAGACCGTGAAGACAGGCGTCCATAATTGCGAGAGTGTCCTGAGTCGGCGAGTCGGTGAAGAAGTAGTCGTTCGAGGGCGTGGCAACGTCGTCGGGAGAGGAGCTGGCAGGATGGTGTAGGGCGACCGGCGGTGAAGGAAATCGTGCATTTCTTCGTGGACCGCGGTGGTCTTCGGCCTCGAGCTTGACGAAGCTTGCGGCAGGTATGGGGGATACTCAGGCAAGCTGCCAGAGGTGGAAAGAGCCTCCTCAGCGTGAAGCGTTTTGGTGGGCGTCGAGTAGAGACGAGCAGGCCGGGGGAGGGTCTGACGAGTGTACGAGACGGCCCGAGCCGCGTTCCTGCGCGTGAGCGGGATCATCGTCGTCGAGACAGTCGAAGCCGGCGAGAAGTAGGGAAGTTTTAGGGGAGAAAGAGGACCAGCAAAGATCCCTCCTCGAGTGCAGAGGCAAGGACGCTGCGAAGTGCCAGGCTGCAAAATATCGGCGCTGTGTCAGCGGCAAAAATGGCCACGTGGAAGTGCTTACCAAATCAGGAGCAGTTTTTGATGCGCCTATATCCTAAATCCGGACAAGATACTGAACGCCTGAAGCTGCGGGGGCGGCCACTGACGCGGACGAGTGCCTCGACGGGGTTACGGATGAGCTTCAGGCTACAACACATCAGATGAACCGCAACTGAGAGCTGTTGGAAGAGTAATTGCTGGGAGGAAGCCGACGCGGGGCTGTACTCAGATGTACAGAGTGCTGAGCACACTCGCAGGAGATGACCGGCAGAGGAAGAGAGGGAGAATACCCTTTGCGCCCCACGCCCAGCCTTATATACCTCCCACGGATCAAATTTTGAGACGATTAATGTGAAGGATGGTCCTTCTCCGCTCGACACTTCACCGACGCTTCCCATATATAGACTGTGTGCGCCCTTCAAGTTCGGGACGATGACGCAGTCACTTCCGAGTTCTTCGCCTCGCCTTGTTTAGACTACAAGGTTGATTGAAAACATCATTTGTGGCTAGCTCACGGCGTACATTGGCCACAACATCAATCATGCCGAGTGACACTGAAGAGTCAAAGAGCATGTACGAGTATCTCTGGGGGAGCATCGTAAGCAGTTCCGATATCATGTAGCCAACGATCCGTAATGGGCATGTGGTGTAGTTGGTTATCACGCTCGCTTAGCATCTAGCATGTTGTCGTAGGCTTGCGAGAGGGGTCCGGTTCAATCCCGGACATGTCCATACATGTTTTGTTCTCACATTTTGCGCTTGTTCTCAAGCTGTTCTCAAGCTGTTCTCAAGCCGAAAGGTCGGCCGGGGTTTGGGTTACCCGTCGGTGGAGGAAATCGGTAGAGCCAAGCTCGCGCCCTTGAGAACAGCCTGCGAATGGACTAATAGCTGGCGAGTCTGCCAGTGTAAATGTATAGCGTTACGAGAACCGTTTCATAGACTTGACCAGCGTTGCTTCGGAGCAAGTACTGACAGTGGTATGAAGCACAAGTGCCCAACGAGAGCCGGTTGGATCGCAAGCCTCAGACGTGAGCGTCCCGGCCTCATGCGAAGTCCACGACTGCGATACGTACCTACATATGCCCAAATCACCGTGAGCTCAAGCTGTCCGTAACGCATCTAGAAAGTGCCCCTTCCAGTTTCCAAGAAACCAAAGTGGTGCAGCGGGGCGACCCCATGGCGCGCCGCAGTGAGCGGTCTCCATCCTGGACGCATCCCAGCTGTATGACGCCTCTGACGTCACCCCGCACCTCCTCCCACCACATCCAAACGCATATATACCCTGAGCCTACTTATTCCGCGCTGCCTCCCTCACCAAGTACTTCTGACTCTTACTTACTTCACCTCACAACACACTTTACACCGCACACCGCACACCATGTCCTCCAACACGAACACGAACAGCGGCACAGCGAACACCTTCGCGACGCAGCCCCCGCCCACGCACCACGTACACAAGTCGTCCGACGTCCTCCCCGGTGCACGCGGCGCATCCCAAGCGGCGCCCAACTACAGCACGGACGTGACGGAGAACCCGCGCGTGTGGCAGGACGCGCACGAGCGCAAGTACGGCGCGGGCTCGGACACGCGCGCGGTCGTCGCCGGGGGCCAGCACGACTCGCCCAATGCCGATACTGGAAGCTCGGCGTTCGAGGGCGAGCGGCCTCTGGGGGTGCAACCGACGGAGCAGGGTGCGTGTACGGTCTTGTTCCGCTGGAAGTGCAGATGCTGACGGACGTTGCCAGGCGGCGTGGCGATTGGCGGCGAGGCGAACCTCCCTGAGGGCCATGCGAAGATGACCGACAAAATCATCGGGAAGACGCAGAAGGTACGTCCGAGAACGTTTTTCTGCTCGTCGTTCGTACGCTGACGTCTGCTCGTACGTGTAGCTCACTGGCAAGATGACGCACAACGCCGAAATGCACGAGAAGGGCGAGCTGCGCGAGGCGGGTGGCAAGATGGCCGCGCAGGGCCAAGCGCGTGCGCCGCACGACTAGGTCGTCGATGGGCTATTAGATGAATGGACAGAGAACTCGCGCTGCTGTATTTGTACAATGTATCTTGACGCACCTGTATTACCATCGTCCTCATGGGTTTTGAGAGACTCGCGTTCGCGTGACAAGCAGTAACTGCAACTTCAGCATATCGGATACACATACAAGACCTAATGTACAGATCAGATGAGAGCAATGAGCGTAGGCGGACTTCCAGTCGGGCGGAAACAAGAGACGTGGCAACGATACAGCGCTCACTGCGCGGGCACCTCGCCCTTCTTCTGCTTGCCCTGCGTGAGCGCCTTGTGCACAAACGGAAGCACACCTGCGAGCCGGTTCGTAAGTGGGATAGCAGAGGGCCAGAGAAAGGATGGCTTACCTCCTCCGGCGATGGTAGCTCGGACAAGCGTGTCCAGCTCCTCATCACCGCGGATGGCGAGCTGCAGATGACGGGGCGTAATACGCTTCACGCGCAGGTCTTTGGACGCATTCCCTGATACCGCGTACAATCAGGCTTTGCACTGCCAGAGTCGCAACAGGAAGACGTACCGGCAAGCTCGAGCACTTCGGCGGTGAGGTACTCCAGGATCGCGGAGGTGTAGACGGCTGCCTTTGCCCCTATGCGCACATTGTGCTGTGTACGCTGCTTGAGGTATCTGTGGATACGTCCGACCGGGAACTGTTCAAGAATGGTCGCGTCAGGCGGCGTTCTTCTTGCTGGACTCATAATGTTCTGCGCTTCATGAATACAGGGAAGCTCAACCCTGCACAGCAGGGCATCCCGGCGTTTCGGACTGGACAACAGGCATGCAGATGGGCGAAAAGTCGCGCGCGAGGTTAGCTTTCGGCCGGGTTTCGGTAGACAAGGAAACCTTTGTCCGGTTGCGCTTTGGAACGAGACAAAAGGTATCCTCGCGCGGCGTATATGTCGCACCTTTTTGCCCGTCTAGAATGCAGGTATGCCTGTCGTGCTGGCTGTCCGAGGTTCGCAGAACGCGGCGAGTAAAGCTTGGCCATGAGAATGGGAGAGCCCAGTTGCGCAAGCTGAGTCACAAAAGTGGCTAACGCACCTGTAGGCCAGCTTTAGAGCTACGCGTCTGCAGGACCTTCTGCGGCGCTGCGGCGTCGGCTGCAGCAGCAGCAGGAGCCTTGGACTTTCCTCCGGACTTCTTTGGCGGCATCTCGAAGGCTCAGAGCTTGAGCGTGCGTGTCTGGCGGCGGATCGGATGCGCTCGGACGCGTGGAATAAGGACGAAGGCAAGAAGAGCAACGCGTGTCAGTGCACGCGCAAACGGCTTTCGACTCCGGGATACTGCATAGGGGTACAAGGACACGCGGTCAGCGCAGGGAAAGGCAGCGACACGCGACAATGGGTCTTACGATCGTGTTCGAAGCGTACAAGAGGTCCGCGAGAAGGAGGACGTCCCAGGACGCGAAAGTGGCAGACGCGATGGTGGTGGTCCGAGGTCAAGAAGGGATCCCGCCTTGCGCTCGCCCCTGGAGGCGTTCCCTGCGCGGGGTGTGAGAGAGGACGCGATCGAGATAGCAGCTAGATCTCTCAACAAGATCTGGCTTGCGGGCACGTGGGGCGCGTCACGCGTCATCGCCGTCTACGCGAGGTGGGGCGTGTTTGGGGGACGCTTCGAGGACGGCGGTGGAGCGAGGCTCGAGCACTAGTTGACAGGCTTCCCCAGCTCCTGCCAGCTCAGAGTCAAAAGACGGTCGGCGCCAGCTCGCTCCTTCCTTCCCTCCACCGTGAGCGAGATATCCTGCAGCCCAGCGACGATCACGGTTCACGATGCCTCGCGCGTTCCACATACCGGGCGTGATCTTCTTGTTCTGCGCCTTCATCCTCCTCGTTCTCGTCTCCGTCTCCCTGCCGTTCATCACCGCGCTCGACTTTGCGCGCGTGCACTTCAAGAGCGGGAGCCCGACGGTGAACTCGGACACAACTGCCATCAACGAGCTCAGGGTGAGTACCGGCAGTTCCGAGTGTCGGTGCACGCATGTCTGACGACGTGTTTTTACAATCAGTTCGGAACCTGGTAAGTTCAAGTCGGCCAGGATGCGAAGAGCCGCACGACACTGACCGCGCGCCACAGGGCAACCTGCTGGTATGAGAACATAGGCAATCGCGTCTGCAGCTCCTCGAACAACGCCTACGCGACGACCATCCATGGCTCCGACAACAGCTTCGTCAACATCGGTCCCTCCTGGACCCGCGGCCTCGCCATCCACCCCGTCGGTAAGTGTTTTTCTCTGCGCCGCGCCTCGGCCAAGGCCCGTATGCTGACGCGCTGTCCCCGTCGCAGCGGCGGGAGTGACGCTGATTGCGTTCATCCTCTCGCTCTCCACACACGTCACCATGACCCTCCTGGCGTCTCTCACCTCGTTCCTGGCCGCACTACTCACGCTCATCGCGTTCGCGGTCGACATCGCCCTCTATGCGTTCGTCAAGCACGAGATGGGCAAGTTGAACGGCATTAGCACCAATACCGATACCGCTCCTGGTGAGTCGCCTTCCCAAATACTCTGCCACGCTTCGTAACCGCATCCCCGATTCCTATACTGATCCGCGCGTTTTCTGATTACACACAGGCTTCTGGCTGACCTTCGTGTCGTTCCTCCTCCTGTGCTTCGCCGGGTGCACGGTCTGCTTTGGACGCAGGCGCGACCGCGCCGACGGCGCCACGACCTACTCGTGGAGGGACCGCTTCCGCATGGGCCGCAAACGCTACTAGGCCGCCCCGCCCTCCCCTCTGCCATGCATTGATCTTCTGAAGGTCGAGTTGAACTCTTTCACGAACCCTTGCGCGTACCGCCTTATGCCCCTTTTCGCGTGTACGCATATATCCTCCTTACTTATCTGTCGACCGGGCTATGTAGTTGCTTCTACAACGTGAACTCATTGCGTGATACATGTGTTGAGCTGTCAGCTCTGCATCGGCTTGAGCGTGCCTTCTTTGTCGGTCCTCGACGCTCGTGTCGAATCAGAGACTACGTATCTGCAGCAGCTTCGGGACCCGACTTGAGCTTGCAGTCCAGGTCGTCCTTATAAAATTCAATTCGAGGACCTCTTGAGTTTCGTCGGCGCCCCGGTCTTCTTGAGTCCTCCGTGTGGCGCATGCGATAGACGTTGAGGCCTATCGTAGATCCGTCTCTATACATAATCCCGTAACTGCGTGTGGTAGTGTGATTCCTAGCAGCAGGACAATAGACTCCCCAGCTAGACGCGGTCGCAACTTGGCTGTTCCCACTGACCGAACCGGGCAAATTTGGAGGCGCGAGCTTGGTACCACCGAACTCGTCGACGCCCCGGCAACAGGGATGAACTTGGACCCAATATCCGTACTCTTTCCATGGCAAGGTACAGTCAGTTGATGTTCGGTCCAAGCCTCACGCGTAAGGCTGATCTCAGTATGAATTTCAAGTCTTCCAATCGCTCATCGTACACGTGCAGTACATATATACATCAGTAACATCACCAAGACGTCCACCTGCCATCCAACACACATCCAACCTCCAACGCTCGTACACGCCGCGTGCAGGTGACCTACTCGTACCCAAAGACCTCCCCCGGCTCGGGCAGACCGTAAAACTCCTTCGCGAACTCCTCCAGCGACTGCGCACGGACGTCGGGGTAAAGCTCGTGCGCGTCCAGGTACCCCAGGCGCTTCGCGTTCTCGAGCGTGTTCTCCTGGAGGAAGTGCATGCTCGTCATGTACTGGCCCCAGATGA